GCCTTGTCCTAACCTCCGACCCCAAGCCTCGCCTCCGCTGGACGGCTGACCTCCACCACAGATTTGTCGATGCTGTTACTCACCTCGGTGGCCCCGACAGTCGGTCCCTTTACCTTACCTCTCTATTTTTCTTGTTTTATTTCATTTTATCTATGGAAACCCGCGATGAAGTTGCTTCTCTGACGATTTAGTTTTCGCAAAATCTCCCTTTTTTTCTCCGTGAAATGTGACTGTGGAATCCTATTATTTATTGCGAAAAAATAGGTCGGACAGTTAGTTGGTGTGAAGTAATTGAGGATGTTCAAAGAAAAACAGCATTTGTAGGATGAAAAGCATTTTTGTAGCTCAATCTACAAGACATCTAAGCTTAATGATTCGGTGTATATAAGTACTCTCTCTGACTGAAAATTTCCTACTCAGAATTTGGAATGAATTTTACCTTCTGGAATAGAAAATTTACTACGTATTTGGTTTGCTCGATGGCTTTCTATTCGTAGTTTGAGAAGATTTGATCGGCCCTACTCTAATGATTTCAAAATGTGTTCTCGATTTGAAAGATATGTTTCTATTGCCAAGCATGTAATATGTTATGTGCTCCTTACTTTAATATTCAAATGTTATACTCTGAGGGAACTGTTGGGGCTGGTTAACTGATTTTCAAGAGTCGGGACTCGAGACCTGAAAAAGTTGGTTCATGAAAAATTTGCAGATTCAGGGAGCTCCAACGCACCAGATTACACGTGTTGAATCACCATTCAATTTGGACTTACATTATTAGTGGAGACAACTAACAAACTTGTAACTTATAGTGACTACATTCAATCTGGACTTGTTTAGCCCCGAAATAGAACTGTTTGTCGTTCGTACAGAAACCTTTGGTGTATAATCCAATATAAATCCATAATAGGTTTCGTTGGTGTCACATTTAGTCGTGAGCCCAGCCAATGCTTTAGTTCTTTCATCATTCCACTTGAAATATATAGAGATAAAAAGTTGCTCTTTATTGTTTATACCTTTTCTTTTTTGAGTATGCAAACCTGGAAGAAGAGCGGATGGTGGGTACCACAATCAGATTCTCCATAGAGATAAACCTTAAATAGCTATTGTACCACCATTTTCTTCCTTGCATTTCCTAAGTTAAATAAAGTTTTCATGTCCAACATCCTGAGTGCACTTCTGAATATTTTGTGACTAAGTTATTCAGAATTTACAATATTGGTCATTTAATTGTCTTAACGAGATAACCTTGTCTGTCAGAAGCGACACCTAAAACTATCTTGCGGACAATGGGAGTAAAAGGCCTGACTTTGTACCATTTGAAGTCTCATCTTCAGGTATGTGGCTAACATTCTTGTACGAGTAAACATTTAACAATGTATACTGCTGCTACATTTTTTTAAGAGATTCAGAAAATGAAATCTATTTATATTCTTTTATATGCACGGCACTTTTGACATTCGAGCGGGGAATATCATTGTGAATTTGTTTTGCAGAAATACCGACTCGGGAAGCAAGCGAATAAGGAGTTGACTGACAACTCGAAAGGTGGTATGGGCAGATTTCTTGTAATAATAATAAATACAGCCATTTCATCTTCTGTGATTAGGAAATTTTCTCTGGTTCAATTGTTAGCACCGCACAGATTAATAATAGGTTTGTTTGGAGTATTGCAAATTTTCTCATGTCCGCTTAATTTCTGAAATGATAAAACAGGTGAGACTGCCAACAAATAGCTAATATATTGACTTGTTGCTAACAGCTTCTTGTGTTGCCGAGACTCAGGACACAGATTCATCATCTATATCAGCTTCATCGAAGATGACGGCACAAGATATATCCGAGTAAGTGATACTCGATCCCATATTGTTTTCTTATTTCTTCTCTTTATTTCAAAAACATGTTCTCCATATATTTGTTTACCTACATTTTCCGTTTTTCAACAGTGGTCTCCAGGTAACTGAGGCTCTGCGGGTGCAGATGGAAGTTCAGCGTAGACTGCATGAGCAGTTGGAGGTTCGAACATTATCTATCCTGATGCTGATTACATATTTTAATCTCTTTTGCCATAATTTGTGAGTTTTGATAATTAGTAGGAAGGAAATTGTGTTTTTGTCCCTAAAGCATCACATGGTGACTTGCTACAACACCCACAACTCTTCTTGTTCTCATGAAGAAGATAAGCATAATTTATGGACTCCAAAAATATTGTTCGAGGAGTTACTTTGAAAACAATTTACTAGAGTCGTGAAATGTAATCTTCGTTTTCTTTTTACTATGATACACAAGCCAGGTCCAACGCCACCTGGAGATCCGCTTAGAAGCACAAGGCAAGTACCTGCAATCGATCCTCGACAAAGCTTGCAAGGCTCTCGAGGATGGGGGGCCAGCTGGGACCACGGGTCTAGACGCCGCCAGCCAAGAGCTCTCGGAGCTAGCAATCGAGTGTCGTGGCATGCTTTCGGATATTGCCTCAGACTTAAACAACGCGAGTGCCCTGCCCATTTTGCCCGCTCGTCTCGGAGAATGTCCATCGGCTGTGGGCCCGCAGATTAAGAAACGTCCACGCCCTATGCTCGGCTGTGATACAGGCGCGGTACATTGGATGATGTCAAATACAGGGTGAGACGTGGGAATTATTTTAGTTTTCAAGAAACAAAAGATGGTATATATATATTTTTTAATTTATTTCTTGTTTTGTTTAGTGGGTTTTCACTTTGCGTGAAGAATCAAATGGTTTTGTACATTCTTTAAAAGACCCTTAAGAGTTATTTGGTAAATGGTAACAAATTCTTCGGAGGGCTTACTGGAGATGGATAGTACATGCTTATGTTTTTGTGTCTCCGTAGGATGGTTTTTGTTTTCGTTAGTTGTGTTAATTGTGGTTAAGTACATTTTTAGAAAGTATTTCAAGGCCCGGGGACTAATTTGTCAGTATGTATTGGGTTACACATTTGTTTATACAAAATATTTTGAGAAAATTATTCTATTACAAAGGACTTGAGAGTATAAACTCACGATAAATTGTATTATTTTATCTACAATCTTCACCCCTCATCATAAGAACTTAAAAACATATATATAATAAATTCGGGTAAATTGCACCAAACCCCCCTGTAATATACTAAATCTGCGCGTTTTCCCCCTGTATTTTAAAAATTGCGCCATACCCCCTTGTAATATACTTTTGCATGCACACTCTCCCTGCTACGTTAACGCCGTTACAAATCCCCCTGACGGCGTTACTTTTTGTTCAATTTATCATTATAAAATTCCTTTATCCAAGAATTTACGATTATGCCATCCAAGAATTTACGATTATGCCATCCAAGAATTTTATATAATATTATATATAATATAATATTATTTATATATTATATGTAACAGTTATTATAAATTTTATATATAATATATTAGATATTATATATAATATAAAATATATATATTTAATAATCGTAATATATATATTATATTATAAATATAATAAATATATTATTTATATATTATATGTAACATATATATATTATATTAT